CCGCGTGCCGCGGGCGGGGGGGGGGGGCGCGGCCCAGCCTCTCTTCCCAATTCAGACCCCGGACTCACAGGCGATGAGGAGCTGCCTCCAAAGAAGGTCACGCGGAACCAGGTGGCGACGAACACCCAGGCGGCAGAGAAGCTGGGCAGCTCCGGGAAGTAGCGCGCGATGTCCTCCGTGGCCCTGCGCAGCGTGGCCGGGTCGGTGGCCTCCCGGTAGTACACATCGCCCGCACGCCGGTTGTCCACATCAGCCCAGAACGCTGCCACCACCCGGCGGTCCTTGGCAATGGGGAAGGCCACAGGCGTGAACTGAGAGACCTCTCTCAGGAAGGAGATGACTCCGTTATTGTTCACCTGTGAGGCAGAGACCAGAGGGGCTGATGGGCTGCAGCGGGGTGGGCAGGCAGGCAGCCCCCATCCTCCAGGGGTCCTCCGAGGGTGAGCCAGCCATGGACGGGGCACCCCCAGGATGGTCGGACAGCCCCGTCCCTGAGGTGGGACCGCCAGGCCCTGCTTTGCCCCTGGCCAGGCATGCTCAGACCCTGCCCATGCACCCAGGGCCACGCTCAGATCCTGCCCAGGGCTGTGCTAGGAGCCTGCCCAGGGTGCCCAGGGCCAGCCCTGGCTGTTGCTGCAGGTCAGCAGCCTCCCACCCAGGTGGGCCCTGGACTTGGGCAATGAGACACTCGCCCCACCCAGGGGCCACTGCTGACCCCTCAGCCCAGAGCCCCACGTCCTAGCCAGGCCTGGAAGGGTGAGCAGGAAGTGTTCAAGTCGGGGTCCAGGGGGAGCACCCCACGGGCGTGCTGGACATGGGCACGGGTGTGGGGAAGCCAGAGGGCTGCATGTGAGGCTGTGCTCAGGGCTTGGGAGGAGCCAGGTTGCATGCACCGGCCCTCTGCAGTCAGACACGCCAGCCCTGCACACCCACAGGGCGTGAGCTGCTGACCCGAGTGCCCTGGCTTCTCCCTCAGGCAGGGAGGGGGCTGGTCCTAGCTGCTGTGGTCTGAAAGTGTCCTTTCCAGCTCATGTGTGGAAATCGTGAGCCACAAGGCAATGGCGATGGGGGCAGGAGGTGATCAGGTCACAGAAGCAGCACCTCGAGCATGGGACAGGCGCCTTCCACACTGGGAGGTTCCAGCGAGGAGATGCCATCTGTGAACCAGGAGGCAGGCCCTCCCTAGTCCCCGAATCTGACAGAGCCTCGGTCACGGGCTTCTGGCCTCCTGCATGGGGAGATCACGTTTCTGTTGTTTATAAAGTGCCCGGTGTAAGGCATCTTGTCACAGCAGCTGGCAGGCACCCAGGCACATGACCCAAATTCACAGGGTGTAGCCCAAGTGCACGGCCCCATGGTCCCGTGGCTGGGTGCCACGCTGCCCGCATGTGCACCTGGGAGAATGTGACCAGGACTGCTTTTCAAAAAGTCCCTGGAACCCCCTTTGGACGAGGGCATGCTGCGTAACTGAGATCGACAGAAGTGGGTAAACACACCTCGCTTCCAAAGCACCAGGGAGCGGGAGGACAGGGAGCTACCTCTGAATTCCATTTCTGGGATGCAGAGATATGGGTGCGGAGACCGCAGGGGAATGGGCGCGGAGACCGCAGGGGTAGGGACGCAGAGACTGCAGAGGTGAGTCCAGCACTTAAAACCACTTCTTTCTTAGTGCCTCTGCAAATGTAAAAACAACAGGTGAAAAAAGACCTGCCACTTTTGTAGCCTCGCAGGGAGAGGAAGGGAGAAGCATCAATGCTCAGAGCTTGCTCGAGGCAGGGAGGGCCTGGCAGCCCCAAGCACTGAGCTGTGCTCCCTGAGGGCCGCCCCTCACGGTGAGGGGGAACCTCCGCAGGGAGTCCCGGTGCAGACCGGCAGTTTGGCTTCCCTGGGCTGTCCAGAACACTGGTCGGGAACTCAGATTTGTTGTCCCAGACTGGCGCACCCTTCCTTTAGGGCAGAGGCAAGAAATCCTGCTCTGGAGGGAGTTGGCATCATCTGAGGCCTCAAGTTATTCCTGCAAATACTTTTCCAAAACGAAAGCCCAGTTCATAGTCAGCAATCACCCCTGCAGGAGCGTGGTGTCAGCAATAGAACGGGCAGGGGTGCGGGAGCCGGATTAGGACTCGGGCTCAGACTATTAGAGAGCTGGACCCAAGGAGACAGGTACGGCCTGAGCCGTCGTCAGGAGGACAGTCTAAGCCACCTGGAAAAGAGCCTCTCTGGAGGACTCACACTTCCGGTTTTGAAATTTGTCTCAAAGCTATTAAAAAAAAAACAAGTGGGACTGTGGCCAGATGGCATGACGGTTAAGGTGCTGGGTCCACACGGCCGACTCTGTGTTTTGAGTCCCTGACCCAGTGGCTTGAAAAATGCTGGTGCGTGCACATGCCGAAAATCCCAAGAAGAAAAGGGACTGAAGTGTGGCCATTCCCCTGAGGGGGATTTCTCACTCTCCCTCCTCTGTCTTTCTCCAGTAAGCACGTGCACCCCAAGGCAAACCCTAAGGCAACAACAGGGCGGTGCTAGCAAAGACAGACCGTGGAGACCGACAGGGCGACAGGTGGGACAGGGAGCTCGGGAGCAAACCTTTGCACATACAATCAAACGATTTTCACAGGGTGCTGAGGCCATTGGATAGCGAAGGTTGTCTTTTCTACGAACGGTGCTGAGTACATTGGATATCCACATACAAAAGAAGAAAGCTGGGGCCTCTCCCAACACCATTTACAGAAGTTAACTCACAGCAGGTCAAAGACCTAAACGTCTAACGTTTCAGTTATCTAAAACTATAAAACTCTTAGAAGAAAACTTGAGTGAGGTTTCATGACATTGGATTTGGCAGTCACGCCTCCGATGTGACACCAGAGAGATAGGCGGCAGAAGGGAAAATAACAAATTGGACTTCGTGATAATCACAAATGACTGCACATCAAAAGATGCCATCAGGAGAGTAAAAAGGCAACCCACAAAATAGGACAAAATACTTATAAGTCATGTATCCGACATGGGATTAATACCCATAATATAGAGAGAACGCTTGAAATTCAACAATAAAAACAAATAATCAAATTAAAATGGACAGACTTAAATGGGCATTTTTCTAAAGAAGATAAACAGGGACCAGCAGTTGGTACAGTGGCTATGTTGCTGGACTCCCAAGTAGTCGACCGCGGTTCGAGTCCCAGGCCCAGTGGCTTAAACTCACGCCGGGCGCGTGTGCGTGCATGCCCAGGGTCCCCAGAGGAGGATGGAGGGGAAGGGATTGTGGTGTGGCCATCCCCCCTGGGGGGTGATTTTTCACTTTCTGTCTCTCTGTCTCTCTCTCTGTCTTTCTGGCGAGCTCATGCGCCCTATAGCAAAAGCCCCTCCAAAAATAAAAAATAATAAATAAATAAATAAATAAATAAATAAGATAAGATAAGATAAGATATACAAACAGCAACGGGCACATGAAAAGATGCTCAACATCACTAATCATTATGGAAATGCAAGTCAAAGACACGATGAGATACCATCTCACATCTGTGAGCAACTATAAAAAACCAGACAGGAGAGGCAAGGGGCAGGCCCTCAGAAGAAGACTCCTCCATTGCTCCTGAGAACTAGTGATTTCAGGAAAAAAAGAGAAAGGAACACTTTCTACTGATAATTCAGCCTCCAGCCCACAAACTCGAGTCGTAGCGAGCCCCTTTAGCCTTCTCTCTGTCTCTATCTTTCTCTGCCTCTGTCTTCTCATTTTTTTTTTTTTTTTTGGTAATTTTTCCTTTAAAACAATTTTAAGGTAAAGTACTCTCTTGCTTTCAGCCCCACATTTATTTCACTAATAATCTCATTCCCCCTGCTCATCCAGGAGAGGCAAGGCTTTCAGAAGAAGACTCCTCCATGGCTCCTGAGAACTAGTGATTTTGTGTGGCACACTTGCTTTTGTTTAAAAAAAAAATTTAAAAAATTTCTTCCTCTTTTTCTCCGTTTGTTTTTTCTTTTGTTTTCCTCCTCCTCCTCTCTCTCTCTTTCTTTCCTTTTCTTTTTCTTTTATCTCATCACTCTTCTCCTCAATCTCCATTCTCTCTGTTTCTAGACAGATTTAAGGGAACCATAACCAAACATCCAAACACTACCAGGGTTAACATTCCTCAATACCCACTGAATCTGCTGCACAAAGGGATAAAGACGAAAGGGCAAAGAGATTCCAGATCACCTCCTTCTGCACGCTCCTGAACGCTCAGATTGAACTTTAAGAATTAGGAAGAAACACACCATCCATCAGATGACTAGAAATTACTACAGGGCCACAAGAAATATGGGAAAGCAAGAAAATACTTCTCTTCTAAGGGTAAAGAATAACTCCTCTTCATCCACAAGCAGTTCAATGGAAATCATGGAAATGTCTGATAAATGTCTCATAATGGTGAAGCTAACAGAGATGGAAGAGAAGAGAGACAATGAACTGCAGAAGAGAAAGGAGAAGAGATGACGAGTTCCAGGAGATGAGGAAATTCTTGCAAGATCTAAAAGAGGAATTACACACTTTAAAAAAGAATCAAAGGGACCTGTTAGAGATGAAAGGTATAATACAGGAAGTCAAATCTCCCTTGAAAGTATTAAAAGCAGACTAGATCATACAGAAAATTGAATCTCAGATGTAGAAGAGAAAATTGCTGGCCTAGAAAAATCCACCACGAAGACTGAGAAAATTACCCCTCAAAATGAGAATAATATACAAGAAACACTAGATACCATCAAATGTCCAAACATCCAGATAATTGGTATCCCAGAAGGCGAAGAGACTCATAAGGGCATTGATAATCTAGTCCATGAAATCCCGCAAGAAAACTTTCCAAACCTAGAGAGGCACTCAAAGATCCAGTCCCAAGAAATACAAAG